AGAGTTGGGAGGATAAAGCACTTAGTACAGCTCTCAGTTTAAAATAAAACATAAATCATGGTGGTTACTTTGGTTCATATTGAATTAAACCCAGACTAACAAGAGCTATGACCTTCAGAAAAGGGGATGGATGGTGGATCTTCCCTGGCCTTCACCTATAACAATTCCTGTCTTCTAGGCCTCATTTGATGGCCTTTTATGATACTGCCATTTGCAAAATTGTCCAAATCTTTTTTATATTCATTCCCATTCATTTATACATCCTCCTTAGGTTACCTCTTAATTAATGTCTCACAAGTTTGTTGTTCTAAAATCACCTCCCTGAAATGTCAAAGGCAGTTTCCCCAGCCCAGTGTTTTGGGATTTGGTGACCAAACTGCAATTTTTTTATTCATAATTTTATAAATTCTGCCAGTGTCTTAGCTCAGGCTTTTCCCTTTGCGTAGCCTACAATGTGCCTACTTCGTATTATTTATTCTTCATTCAATAAATATTTACTGGGTTCCCTTTAAGTGTTGCTGATAAGGACCACAAAGATGGTCCCTTTCCTCAGAGTCATTACATACTAGCAGGCAAAGACAGACAAGAAATAGGTAAACAAGCAAATGAATAAAATAACTGCAGTATAATGAAGGGTAAAAATGTATGATGAAGAGAACAAACAAAAGGCTGAGATGGAGACCACTGGAGAGAAGGCTGTCCCCACTAAGGAAGAGGTGAAAGAGCTCCTGAGACGCTGTAACTCAGGGGCCTACAGCCTGGTGAGCTTGGGGAAGGAGGACAGCCAGTGCGGTGAAGGATGGGCTGGGGCCAGATTTCAAAGAGCTTTGTATCCAGCTTCTCTATTTATTTTTCAAAAGGAGCCTGAACTTTATCTTAAACATGTTGAGAAGTTGTTGAAAGATTTCACTCATGGCAGTAACACAATCAGATGCCTGCTCTGAAAGATTAGCTTGGCCATCAAGTGGAACATGGGTTAGGTTTGGAAAGAGGAAAACATTGTAAATTTGGAGTCTGTTGCCTTAATCTAAATGAAAGCTGATGGTGGCCAGGACCAGGGAAAAAAAAGTAGGTAGCTTCCAGGCACACTTCCGAATCAGGAGAGGACTGACAGGATTTGCTGTTGGAAGGCCACCAAGCAAGTTGGATGAGGGAAAAATGATCAAGGATGAAGCAAGATGAGGGAACAAACCATCAAGGGTGATTTCTGAGTTTCTCTGTGGAGTCAATATGTCAGTGTATGGAGGTGTCATTAATGAGATGGGAAAGATACAAAGCAGGGGGTAGAGAATGAAGACACATTAATTTTGCGATGTCTGACAAGTGTGATGTGTCAAAAAGGTGGATGGGTATGTGAGCCCGGAGCTGATAAACCTGACCAGACATGAATTTGGAAGCCATAGCATGAAGATGACCTAGTAATCCACAGGAGTTGATCCACTCACCTCTCTCCTGCTAAATATTTCAGCTCCTCTCCCTCCTGAAGACACAATCCAATGCTATTATATTTGTTGAGTGGCCACCAGGGCTGGGCTCACAGATCTCAAGGTCTGACCAGGGAGTCTTGCTATTACTTGAATTCAGTTTAAATACCATATAAACCTTAAGTCTTTGAATTTTCCCTATAAATACGTTACTGTTTCTGTTTGAAGGACTTAACTCCTCATTTATTTCTTTTCACCTAATTAGATATTTTTTAGCTTCTGATGTTTGGTAAGTTGCTTACTCTCTAAGAAGATTCCTAACACATGTCAATTTAATATAGAGATTTCTAATGTATTCATTTTCTAGTTAACATATAAAGAAAATGTGGGTGAAAGAAAGATTTCTTATTTTTTTTCTATGGTAGTACATGTGCTTAAGCAAACCAGAAGCTAAAATTAGAAATGTTCTCTGACTCCACAAAAAGTATACAAAGTCTATAAGAGGCCTGGGAATTGAACAGAATGGAAATAGAAAACTAACAAGCCATGCATGATAAGGAAACACTTGATGGCCTGGTATGAGTTCTGTGGAGATGCTTGGGTTCACTCTAGTTGTATACAAATCCTTCTTGCTCTCCTGGTTTCTATCTGAGATGTTGATTACAAAATCATAATCATAACATGCAGGTGTCTCAACATAATTGTGGGCTTTTCATTTCAACTCCATTAGGGGAAGATTTTTTTTTTCGCAGTCAGAGAAGAAGGAAGCATACTATCCAAATCATCCAAAAGAAAAACAAACAAACCCTTTAAGAAACATCTCAAGAAACTTTTCTCAGAAATGCTTCTTGACACAAAACATCTTAATAAGAATATTAATTCAATAGTGGGTCAGAGATAAAATGATGAAACAAAAGTGTTAAGAAAAAGAAAATGAAGACCCGTGGAAGCAAATTGAAAACCAAAGCAGTATAATTAAAGAAATAACCAAAGATTGGAAAAGCAAGGAGCTGTACAAATATCACTGATAATCAAATTATGGCATATAATAAAGGCTTGAGATAATTAGGGTACATGCATATTTAAAAAGATAAAGCAATAAAAAATACAATTGATATAAAAGACATAGGATAACTGATATTACTGAAAAAGACTAATATGTGGACTAAATGTTAAGTATTAAAAACACAAAATTAAAAAGAAAGTTTATCTGAGTTGAAGAAAAAGTTTTACAATTATCTATAGTTGGAAAGAACATGTGTTCTGAGAAAATGTAATACAAGACTCTCTTCACCAAGAAACATTCTGGTTAAGCTCCTGAATTTCAGGAATAAAACAATTTCAGGCAACTGGACAGAAAAAGCAAACAACCTACAAGGGATGAAAATCAGGCTTCCTTTGATCAATCAAAGCTGTAAGACAATGGAACAATTGTTCTGAGGTGAAAATAGCATGACCCAATAATGTTATACCCAAGATGGCAATCAAATATAAGAGCATTATGAACTGTGAAAGGACTGAGGGAGCATGCTGAAAAAAATCTAGATAATGACAACCTGCCAATTCATTTGTAATCAAAATTTAAAACTCAGAAACAGAGAAGGTCTGATTTAAAAAAAAACACTAATGGTAAGCATTCAGTCCACCTAAATATTAACTAATAAACAAAGGTAAATTAAAGTTACAGGGAAAAAATGTAATGTCATAAAGCCAAACAATGTAAAAATAATAAAACACAAAAATTAAAGATAAAAAAAAGAAAAAATTTGTGAAACTGTGTGATAATATTATTCTCCTATTCTTTCATTGCAAGGAGTAAATTTAAAATGTTGAAAATTAAAATATGTAACTAATATTTTAAATTCCAACATCCCTATTTTTCATGTTTTCTTAACTTTAGAAAGCCCTCTTGTGAAATATTTCTTGAGATGAAGAAATAAGTATTTGAAGTTCAATAGTTCCTCTAGTCTTAATTTCTATAGATTTAATTAACATTAAATTAAATAATGTTTTATTTTAAAATAGCACTTATAATTTTATAAACATAATAATAAATTACTTTTTTATTTTTAAAATGACTGGAAGCATATATGCCAGGATATTAACAATGGATCTTTTTAAGTAATAAAATAGAGATTATTTTATTTTTGCTCTTCTTCTGTAATTTTTTTAATTAAAAAAAAATTAAAGCAAGAGTTAGAGCTGTACCAGAGGTATCTGATAAAATTTTTCTCAGATTTTCCCAATTCTAGGTAGAATTTTTGTCTTGAGCAACTGAGGAACTTGTAAAGCTAATTATATACTTGGTGATGCACATATTATAATATGTACGTATGTTTGTACAAATATTTTTACTACTAGAAAAAATAAGTTTTCACTTAATGTCTACTCCTCCTACTCTCCCCCACTCTTCAAATCATGACTTATGCCTGTTCTTCCCTTTGTTCAGTGGATTGAAGGAAACACAAGGTGGTATAATGGAATGGCTGGCTTCCTACTTCCTCACTTAGCCTCAAATTAGTAGCTTCTCTTTCCAGGCGTTCTGCCTCGTCTATAACAATGATGATAGGACTTCAGTAAACTACTCTGAAAAGACACTTGGGTTGGAATTAGGGAGCACAAAAAAGAACTGAATATTCTCAATCGAACTACATTTCCAATCAGCCCCAAGTAGGGCACCAGGACTGTTGGTAGGTAGCTGGCTTGTGGCTGAACTAAGATGCTTAGCCTTGAAGATGAAGGCCAACAGCACAAACACATTGGTTACTTTTTTAAACTCTTAAGTTTTCCTATTACTTTTCTTTCTTTTTTAACTTTAGTAGTACATTTAATTTAATTTCCTATTCTTTTTCAAGGACTAACAAGGGGCTAAGATTGGGAGGACATAGTACAGAAAGCAAGAGAGCATATTCCATAACTTCATTATTATGCAAAGAAAAGAGAATTTAGGGAGGGACAAAGGTACAAAGTAGCCACTTGAGAGCTCTTTCAGTAAAATCCTTGCTTAGCTCAGGACTTCACCCCTGCACCCTCCTTTATTCTCACGACAAAGAGTTAAAGAAAAGTGTCATCACTGTGGTCCCCACTTTATAAATTACAGGGGCTCAGCCCAGTCAGGGATTTTCCCAAGGTCACTACGATAGTGAGCGAGATAGTAAGGATTCCAAGCCAGATCTGCTTACACCGAAGATGATGCTCTTTCTTGTACTGCCGTCTTTTATATATAAAGCCATCACAGCCCTAAGTTCATTTGGCAAATGAACAAAGCAGAGAACCTGAAGAAATACACAAAAAAAGCTTTCCCATTTCCTAGTCCCCTGTAATGAAACCTCTCACTCGGCAGTTTTCAACCTGTGGGTCTCGAGCCCTTTGGGGGTCGAACGACCCTTTCACAGGGGTCGCCTAAGACCATCGGAAAACACATATATAATTACATATTGTTTTTGTGATTAATCACTATGCTTTAATTATGTTCAATTTGTAACAATGCAATTGGGGGTCACCACAACATGAGGAACTGTATTAAAGGGTCGAGGCATTAGGAAAGTTGAGAACCACTGCCTCACTCCTGACTTGACCTGTACCTTTTTCTCCAGGGAAAGCATTCCATCCACCTGCTTGGGAGTCCTCCACACGCAGTACACAGGGCTCGCTGGAGCTGATGCAGAGGAAGTGAAATTGCTTGTGGGGAGGCTGTGGAGTCGCACACATGAACTTGCCCCTGAGAACTTCATTCCCCATATCCTCTCAGGTCCATATGTATATGACTTAATTCATCTGCTTGCAGCATCGTCAGCTCACCAGTACGTACCATGGAATTATTCTTACATCTAAAGAAAGGAATAAAGTTTTTAGAAAATATTGATGTGCTATATATTTCTAGGACGATGGGGGAGACTTTAGTTCTCTGTCTTTTCAAGTATCCCTTTTACACAGGGGTTTTTATATTTAAAAAAATAGACCCTAAGACCACAATTCCAAGCTTCACTCACACCATGGCTTTTGGAGATTAAAAACCAGGTTAGATTAGATTAGACTCACCACAGATAAATTCTTTTAAGAAGTTAAATACCCATTATTTAATTTCTAGTTGGATCCCAAGTGAACAAATGACCTTTGACCTTGATTTGAGCACCTCCACCACCATGACACAACTAATTTAAATTGCACAATTTTAGAAGCTTAATTATTCTTCCCGATATTATGCAAGTACTTAAGAATCTGATCAGTAAAGACTGTTTTACTGATTGTCATTTCCTTCTCTCTCCCTTTTTCTACCTGTTTCTAACTTATGGCCTCATTCATTAGCCAGCAAATGGTCACATGCTCAGAAACACCTGTCATCATTAAGATATATTTTTTTAATTTTTCTTTTGGTGCCCAATTTATAAGGAAAGGCCAGCTAGAAATGGTGATGAAAACAGAACGAAAAAAGGATGGTAAAATTCAAATTCAGGATAAGGGTGAGACAAAATTCAATGAAAGGCAGAAAGTTTGGAGTACAGATGTAGCCAGTCCTTAACAGTGTACAGAATTAGCATCATCAGTACATTGAGCTGAAGATGAACTTAGCTGCTTAAAAATCCATTCCAATCAACTTTTTTTCCTTGGCCAGATAAGCACAAGCTGGTTGATATTGCTATGAGGTTTCCTTCCCTCCATTTCTCATTTTCTAGCTAATTTCTATCTTTGTCCAATATGTTACTGATAATTGCTTTGGCTATTTTCAGATAGAGTGTTGTTCCACTGGGTCCTATTCAAAATTTCTATGAGTGCTTTGAAAGAAAAGGGGCTGGTCACAAGGCAGAGTTCGGATTGATCTGGAGACCTTGGACTTATAATTGTGATATTTTGGTCTGGGTGATATCAGAGGAGACAATTTTCTCTGACACAACAAATAGAGCCTTTCTACCTTTAGTGGATTTTCAAATGCCAATTGTACATTAAGTGGCTAAAAACTAAGGCTGATAAACTCTTTATTCTCCCAAAACAACAACAAAAAAAGTAGAGTACTCATAATAAAAACTTCAGTATTCAAATGTCATTTACAAAGAATACTATATCCTTATAATAAAAAAATTAAGAAATGAACAGTACATCAGAGCTATTTCTTTTTCTTTCTTCAAATTTTCCAAATATAATAAAAAGACTTTCATGTTTAGGTTTGCCTTCTTTTAGTCCTGAAATGATTCAGTCTGCCTGGTTTACACTCCCAATCTCACCTTCCAGAATCCCATTCCACCCCCCACAATATAATTATTGAAAGGAAGTTCTGTTGCCTTTAATCTATTTAGAATGTTACATTTGGTCTCCAGATCTGCAGTATTACATAGGTGATCCCAAATATGTGTGTCTGATACAAGAGACAAACCATAGAGCAAGACCACTAGAAGTGTACCCCATATTGATAGAAAGCCAAACAAATCTCATTTCCTCTTTTACTTAACAAGTAAACATTTGACAAAGATGAAAGTTATTGTTCCCTTGGATGGCATCAGCAAGCTACATATTCAGGGAGGAATGCATTTATATAATGTGTGGTTAGAGGTTAATCAATATTTCATTTCTATTTCATGGCAACCAACTGCTCACATAGGTTATTTGGTTGTTCTGCATTTTTTAGTTAAATGAAATTAATTTATTCCACAACTATGTATTAAGTGCCTACAACAGTCCTTGTTACACAGTAGGCATTTAGTCACTGTTGATACATAGAGCATTTCTTGAGAACTTGCTAGATGTAGACTCAATATTGAGTTCCCTGGCTGAAATCATTCATAAGCAGGCATGGAAATTTTCCCCTGTCAGAGTCCAGAATCTATGACTATGAAATCATTTGCATATCGAGCATTTCTGGCCTCTTCCTTCTTCTACCCGTAGCCATTCTCACCACTGCTAATGAGACAAGTGATCTGATTGCTTGAGCAATGTGCCTGTAAATCCATCTCTAAGACTCTGCTCTACAGTCTGTCCTCCCCTGGGCCCACTGCAGGAAAATAGGCACCATTTGAAACCTGAACCATCCGCTGCCATAGAAAAGCACATGAATCAAATGCCCACAGCAAAGTCTGATGCTCACTGGCTCATTCTCTGTGTAAATCCAATCATGGATGTCATATTGGTTTGTTCAAGAGAGCAGACTCATCAAAAGCTACCACCCCAACAGCTCTTGTGCTATTGGGGAGCTTAGAGATGAAAATAAGCCTACTACTCCCCTCAAGGATCTCCTCACGTGGGGCCTTCCTGGACCCCCTTTTTCTTCAACAGACACCCATGTGTTCTTTGTGTCTTCCCCTGCACTTCAAAAAACCCTTAGAAATACCAGTCATCACATTCTAATGAAATTGTTTGTTTGTATGCTTCTTGAGAACAGGCACTTTGGCTTATTCATCTTTGAAGCTTCAGCACCTCACATGGATGGTTTTCAGATAGATTGTCTTTGTTCTTACTGAGCCAATGAACAAATATCACTTAGCCAGAGCCCAAGAGCCGTATAGACATTGGAAGTATCTATTCAACCTGCTGCCTACCCACCTAACAGTCCTAAAGGTCCTTGCTATGTCATCAAATTATGTAAAACCTAGAAAATATTTTGCTCAATTGTTCTATTAAAACCACATAACTTTTTAACAGGTGTGACCTTGGATCTACTACAAATCCCTTAATTACACAGATGAGGAATCTGAGGTCCCAAGAAGTTAGATCAAGGTCATACAGCTAATGAATGGCAGAGAGAGTATAGAATGCAGTTCTTCCTGCTCCCTGCCCAGTGCTTGGCTTACAATCCACAGTCCAGAATCAGCCTATTGAGGTTCCATTTCTGAAGGGGCTTGGGGAAAGCACTGGCAGTTGAACTAGATTCACAAAGAGGGAGACAACCTCCACCAGACTCCCTATTTGTTTTTCCTTCCCAAAGGCATAAACACTGGCCAAAAAGCTATCTTAGTGCAAAGAATAAGAATGAGGAGAAATCATGGAAATCTACATGATATGCAGCTAATGACATCTAAAGAGGCACCTTAGGACAGTTTTAGGTTTATAATCAAAGATCAAGATGGGCTGTCTCTGGGTCAGATGTTCCGTAGTAACTGAGCTCCAGGAAAGAACTTTGGACCTGCCCTGTTATGAATCTGTGTTCCTGAGGTGGATCTAAAATGTGTATAGCCCATAAATTTTGAAAAAAGGAGAAGGAAACGCTTCCTGAAGCTTTCATCATGCAATACTTCATCCTTCAACTCACCAAGTGTCCATGGAGTATGTACTAAGTGCCAGGCAAGGAGCTGAGCACTGTGGCTACAAAGATGAATAAAACAGAATCTCCCTCTGCTCTCAGGGTGCTCATGGTCTGTGATATCTCCCACCGAGAACTCTTTAGAGGGCCTAGTATACTAGTAAGTCACACATGTGCACACACCTGCAGATACACATACACATGCACACACATACATACACCTACACACACAATGTATTAAAACACATTAGAGTCTCGCTCACAGCTCACTATTTGATACTCAGCACCTACACCCAGAATACTAAGCTTTCTGTCTCACTGCTTAGGCTTCTCCGTATCTCTTGTCCTATGTCCTCAAAACAAAAGGCAAGTGTGTCCAGATGCTGTGAAGGTTTATGGATTGTGTCGCTGCAAAGGTCAAAATGGACACTGCTTCAGAACAGAGGACAATGTGAGCAACAGAAGTTCTTAGGCAAGAGAAAGGACAAGTGAATTCCCTTATCAAACCTTCCCTCTCAGACTGAATGAATGTGATCCTAACATAACTGAGAGGTACTGCTTCTCTTCAGATACCAAATTGTGATTCTGGAGGTATTCACAATCAGCACTATACTAGTATTTGCAATAGTCGCAGACAGAAGTTGAAGAATATTTCACAATATTAAGCAATGCTTGTTACTCTTGAATTTATCCTTATGTAGATATGGACATAATACATGTGAAGTATAATAAAAATTATATTGGCAACCAAATGAACATTATGGTGTTTTTATATTTATAAAAAATAGCCAAATGTAAAAGTAAAATTTAAATGCCAGCTTTATCTAAAATTTGTTATATTCATTGATTACAATTGGTTTTTACCTATTGTTTTTAATAAATCTTGAATATTTTAGGGTGAATGTAATTTTTAAAATATACATGATAATTTTATTTTTTCATCTTTACATGTACTCTGATATTTTTTCAAAATGTAATGAAATTTTATACTTCTGAGAAAAAATACATTTTATCTCTAATCCTTTAGTTCATTTCTATAAACAGCACTTTAATTATGAAAAATATTAAGTAAAACAACATAACTAGTGATTTTGCTATAAAGAGAAAGATATCTTACAGAATAAATATATTATAATTGATGAAATATGCATGTGTTTTATTCAATCAGACATTAGCCCATAATACCAGGACATGCACAGTGATAATTAAATTTAGTCATCTTTAATGTCATGCCAACTTTTTTATTATATAAAAACCATGGCTTCACCCACATTAATTTTATTCTGTCATTACGAAGGTATATCTGTCAAAGTAGAAAGAACGTATTTCATTTCACAGTTTGTTAGCTTGATTTGAAACCTCTATGCATGTAGAAACATGGTTTGTGGGCCTCTGTTTGTCCTCTCATCCCTAGTGCTGAAATGTTAGGGGCGGCCAGTGAAGGAGTCACCAAAAATTAACACAAAATGATTGAAGCTCCAAAGTAAGAGAACAAGTTCAGTAGGAAAATAAGCCTCTTCCCTCTTCTTGAATACTCAGAGGAACCTTACAGGCACACAAGGCCACAGAGACTGTTAAATCTTGGAGCCAGTATCAGAG